ATATACATTTTCTTTACCAAAGAACCCTTGAAGAACCATCTTTACGAGTAGACTGTAAGAGGGAGAATGCAGATTTCCAGAGAGGCCACTTGGGATTTCAGCAGAACCTCTCACAGGGTTCCACTTAAATGAATGTTAATTTCACTCTAACGTTTGTGAACATTATCAAGTTCCAAAACATAATAAATAACTTAAATATTCAATACAAAGAAATACAGGAGAAAATCTTTTTATATCCAATTAGCCTGCATGGTTCTTCAAGGGTTCTTCAGTAAAGACAATGGTTCTATACAGAACTATGAACACTCAAAGAACCATCTGCATGTTTAAATGATTCTCTGCATGGTAAAATGGTTCTTCAGATTGATGGATATATAGCACCAAAAAGGGTTCTTCCAGGGTTCTGTTGTTATGATGTCAAGCTTGCATACAATAAAGAACCAAGAACCCTGCTTGGTGCTATATAGAACCATTCTCCACACAAAAACCCTTTATACATGCAAATGGTTCTTGAAGAACTGTGCTTTTGTAAGAGTGTACATTACTAATAAGGTCTTAAGTTTTAAGTGGGAAACGTAACCTAATAACACGGAGCTCTAGTGACTGTAGACGAGTTAGACCAATCAGAGGCAACCGAACATTCAAGTGCTGTGACATCACAACCATGACTAACTGGCTAAAAAAAAAAAGTAAAAGTAAAGTAAGTAAATCGCAGCTCATGCACAAACGAGCGCCAGCCGTTAAAGTGGCTCGAGCTGCGGTTCCCTCTCGTTAGTGCTGACGTGGAGACGATGAGCTCCTCAGGGAACGTTACAGAACGTCACTCTAGAGCCTGTGAGGCCTCAGACTGGAGATTCAGAACGGACAGATGTTTGGTCACCGCTACGATTCGGACAGACAGGAATCTGACGCGCCTGATCGGATCAGGGGCCGGATTCACAAAAACTTTCTAAAGAAAAAACTTGTGAAGGTTCTTAAGACAAACACTAAGAACAGCCTTCGTTCTCCGATATCCTCCTAAGTCTGTTCTTAAGTGTGTTCTTGATAAAGGTCCTAAGAAAAAGTCTCCATCAGGTTCATGTCGTGTTCTTAAAGCGCAGAACTGTTCTCTCCTTTGTGCTCTTGAGTATGTGTAGATTCTGTTCTTACCGAAGAACAAACCCCACATAAGAGAACATCGGTGAGTCAGAATCTTCGCCAAAACTGCGTAAGAAGAAATTTCTTCTTAAGAACGGTTGGAGAACGAGGCCCAGAGTTCTTAAATGCAATTCTTGAAAAAAAACTTAAGTTCTCAAATGTTATCTTGAGAAAATCTGAATTATATTCTTATGTTGACTACATTGCGTTTTACCATGTACCGTAACCAACGCAACATACATTTAAAATCTGTATTAACTATTAACTCCGTTACTCAGTTTAATCCAAACCAGGTGTTCAAAATTAAGAAACAAGATCTACAGCTGATGGAGGAAGAAACAGCCAACAACTCGATCAACTCGTCAATACAGTGACGAGAGACAGTCTGTCGCAAGATTAAGAACAGAATGTTTTCAAGAATAACACTCGTTCTTAGAATTATTCATAAGAAAATAGTTAAGAAAAAAAATCAGAAAATTCTTAATAAGCTATCTGAAGAATTACAATTTCTCGTAACTTTTTTTCTCAAGAATGACGTGAAAAAAAACAAACACACATTTAAGAAGATTTTCCTTCTTAAGGCAGTTTTGTGAATCCGGCCCGAGAATATTTAAATCATGACAGCAATTCTGTTTAAAAGGGTGTGAAATGCAGTGGGGTCCTAAAGTCTGAGATCACTAGTAAAAATATTTCTATTTTGTATTCTTTTCTAATTTAATGAAATTTTTTAACCACAAGTTTGTTTTATGAGCTTAAAAATTGAAGTGAATCTTTGAAATTTTAACCTGAATGTCAGAATTTCCCACCGTTCGTTTTAACGGCAGCGGCGCTGGAGTGGCACGGACTCCACAAGTGTGTGCAGAAGCCTCTGTAGATCAAATCCACATGAGAATCGTCTGAACAGGAGCTTCATTACAAAAGATGGGAAATAAAAACACTGCAGAAGCTTCTTCATTTGACTCCTCTTAACTAAAATTTGTCAACATTTTCAAATATTCAGTTTTTTTTCCAGCTCTAAGGGAAAAAGACCCAGACTTTCCGTGTGACCTCAGACTTCAGGACGCCACTGTACGCGACTGGCTGCTGTGTGTAGGAAAAAAAAGGCGATTAAATGAAAACAAACCAAAAATCCAAGTTTCCTTCATTCTGTCGGTTCTCTTGTTGGCAGGTTTACAGGCTGAGACTGAGCTTTATTCTTTCCATCCCCTCAACCAGCGCCTGAGTCCTTCTGTGGAAGCACTGTACACGATCACCTGGACGGGCCGCAGGTGAAGACCTTGCAGGGGCGAGTTTTTTTTTTTTGTAATAATTTTTAAATTTTTTTTTTATTTCTTAGCTCTGGTAGTTGACCTACGGCTAGTTTTGCATAGCGGCAAGGCAACACGGTAGAAACGACACGTCTACGGGACGACGCTCACGCACTGTGCGGGATTCGGGATCACAGAGTTATTGTCTTTACACAGTTTATGCTGCTGCTGACAAAACTGTACAAATATCTGTCTATTTCTTATTATTTATCCAATACGTTTGCTTTTTTTATATAAATAGAAACATATTAAATTGCCATCAAAGAATAAACGTGCAAAAAAGGGGTTCTTTACAAATCATCCACAAATCGCACAGTAATGAAGATCCTCTCTGAGACTCTACAGGGAGAACGAAGCTGGCATCACAGGACTGACGTCCTCAGGAACGTCTTCAATACGAGACGTTAAAGTCGGTGGATTTATAAACGTTCTACACTGTAAGGCGACGCTAAGCCTGGCTTTACCTGGTGAAACCTTCACACATCTTCACCTGATTCAATCTGACTTTATGGAGCCACGTGATCACATTCAAATTACTAGTAGAATAATTTAATGTGTTGCATGAAACTTCAATTACTTTTCAACAGTTTCATTTAATTGTTGGGTGGAAAGGATATTTTCGACCTTGAGACCTTTGAGAGTTTCACCACATAAAGCCAGACAGACAGACGTCGCACTGCGTGTAGAATTTTCTATCCATAAAATAAAAATCAGGACCTTAAAAGAGAATTTCACCAATTTTTTACAAACTTTCTGCAAAATTAAAAGGTTAAGATGTAAATAGAGTCGTTCAGTGGTTCCAGTGGTTTGGTGGGAAAGATTGAGAATACATTTAAAACAGAATGTTTTCAAGAATATCACTCTTAGAATTATTATTACAAAATGAGTTAAAAAAAGAATTCTTAAGAAGTTATCTTTTTTCTTAAGAATGAAGGAAAAACAAATATTTACAAAGATTTTCTTTCCTAAGACAATTTTGTTAATCTGGCCCCAGATTATTTCAATCATGACAGCAATTCTACGAAGAAAAAAGAAAAAAAAAAAAATTAAATACATACAGTGAAATATAGTGGGGTCCTAAAGTCTGAGATCACTAGTAAAACTTTTTCTATTTTATTCTATTTCTAATTTAATTCAAACCTTTTCACTACAAATTCTGTTACAGGCATTAAAATTGAAATTAATCTTTGAAATTTTAACCTGAATTTCAGAATTTCCACATCTTGTTTTAATGCCAGCTGGCACAAGTGTGTGCAAAAGCCTCTGTAGATCAAATCTATTTTATTTACTATCAAAACTGTAAACATCTTCACTGGTGGTTTTAGATATGAAAAAATGGCTATATTTGCATTGCAGATTAAATAAGCAGGACAAATAATGTGGGGAACAGTGCAGGAATACTGGCATCTCTTTCAGGATAAACCAGGTGAAGCTTTGAACGTACCTATAGATCAGCTCTAGATTCCCCTACCTCTGAGAGACATCACTAATAAATACAGAACAACCAAGATAACATTACATGTAAATGTTGATAAGGTAAATCTGAAGTCCTCTTTGGGGGCTACTTTGCCTCGCAGCACCTACCACGAACAGGAATAAACCTCAAAACCAAACAACCAATTTGTGTGTCAGAGGTGGATGTCTGGTTCCTATCACCACCACTGTGGACAATTCTGACTCTAGAACGGAGCGTTTCACACCAAACCACTCTGAACGACTCTGTTTCCATCCATTAATTAAGCAGAAAGTTGAAAAAGTTGTAAAAATATGCCTTTAAAGCCACAATCAGTACAAGTTTAGAAGTGAATTACAGATAAATCCATAAAAGAAATGAAAAAAAAATGAACAGTGGCCATTTTAAAGGCAGTCTGAACCATCACAGACTATATATTATATATATATATATATATATATCATATTTGCTGCTGTCAGAAGAAAACCTTGTATCTCCATTTTTGTTGTTTTTCAGTTTTTGACATAATTTGAAAATGTTGTTCTTTACATTGCGTGTAAATTTCATGATGAATGGACCAAAATAAACGGCCCAAAATGACTTGGAAAAAAGTCTGGTTCCATTGACTTACATTAAAAGTGCAGTATGTTTTTTCCTTCTCCTGTAAAGTTACCATTTTGGAGATACGAGGCTTTGTTCCGTCAGCAACGATATAAAGGAAAAGAAAAAAAAAAAACAAATAAAACCTCTATTCGCGAAATGTACTGACTGTAACTTTAACTGCTAGAAAAGAGACAAAGAGACGTCACAGTTGAGGATCTCCAGCTGAGCCAGTGAGGAGAACTTCACTGAAAATGCTACACACTCGGCTTCAGATCCTACGCAGCTCTTCTCCGCCGTGAAGGCCGCCGCGCCGACTCCTCACAACTTGAGCTCGTTTCCGTTATTCGGCGACAGTCTCGGGAGGCAAGCGGCCGTCAAAAGCCGAGGGCCTTCTTCGTCTGTTTGATCTTGTGACCGTGGGGGATCGCGCAGGAATACCGGGATCTATTTCAGGACAAACCAGGTGAAGCTCTGAATGTACAAATGATCAGGGAGGATAGAAACCTCTAGATTCCTTTAGCTCTGAGAGATACGGATAATAAATACAAAACAACAAAAAAAGATATGTACTCATATTTCCAACAATATCTCTATAATAATAATAATAATAATAATAATAATAATACTTAAACTTTTATAAGGACGTACAAATATACTTTCGCGCGATGCCTTAAGCCCTACTCATGTCAGTTAGAAAATTAATAAAGAATGATAAATTATTATACAAAATTCAACACTATGCTAGGCTGCTTTACAACTCGGATGCAAGTCCTGACGTTTGTGTTTGTATTCCTCAGAAACACTTGCAACAACAAAAAAATACTCAAAAACCTGAATTCATCCTCTTTAGAAAAATACAGCTTGCCAAAAAGTACTCTATAAAATATTCCCTTGGTGAAACTTGTTTTTTTTTCCCTCAGCTGCCTGTCGTGCAGTCCAGGCATGATAGGACACTAAGTGCACTTTAGATCGGCGCGGCCGGTCGTCCGCCTCACTGCTGCGGCACACGGAACTCCAAACCGCTGATGTACGAAAAGAAAAGAAATAAAAAGCCACACTGATTCCTAAAAGTCTGAGACGTATCTGTTTGTGCATGGTTTCTGACAGGACACTTAAAATTTACAACGCTCTCCGACATCCTGCTTTCATCACGGCCGCCTCTGTTCGGAGGGGTGCCGCACTTTTAAAGGAGTAGTTCTGTTATGGTGGGGTGCAGCAGGGGGTACCTGACGGACCCCCTCCGTGACCAGAGGCCAGAAGACCCCCCCGTGACAGAGCGCAGAGAGTCGAGTGAACGGGCAGGACGCACAGTGTGATGGACTCTCTCCACAGAGACGGCGCCGCATGCAGAAGGACAGAGGTTCACCATGTGTGGAAGAGGGGCTTAAGGAGACCACCGCGAAGCTGCTCGACTCTCTCCACCTCACACGCCGTTAGTGGTGCACTTTGGGCTGGAAACACAAGGAAGAGTTGCGTTCGTAAGTATACAGCAAACAATGTACATCAAATTCATCATTAAAGTGCTCAAAAGGGGGAATTCCACCAAAATCTCCCATAATTTAGTGCTTAAGATGTGGTTCAGAGTGGTTTGGTGTGAAATGGTTCAGATGTCTTTACAGTGGTGGTGATAGGAACCAGGGGTCGCCATGACTACAACACAGATATAGACATTTTATTTACTATCCAGAACCACCAGTGAACCTACACGAGTCTTCTGAGTCTATATGGAATGTTGATGATGGAGAAATTTTGATAAATCTGAAATATTAAGCTTTCTTTGGGGACTATTTTGCCTCTGCATGTATCCCTCCACCATGAATGGAGTTTAAGTTCTCAGAACTATCGTGAAACCACGTCTAAGACATCAGCCAGTGTATTTATTTCACACTGAATCACTCTGAATGACTCCTTAATTAACCTTAATTATGCAGAAATGTTGACAGACTTTCCCCTTTTAAGTGTTCAACTGTAATCAGACTCAGTTCTTTTAAAGGGGCCATATTCTATAACTATAAAGCCCACTTCAAACTTGTGTGTGATGTACCAAAAACAGTCCTAATTCATTTTCATACTGCATTTTTGTGTCCAGTGATGGTTAACCGGGTTACCACAGTAACAGCCCCCAGTGATGGTCAATGATTGTTGACCACAAGATAAAACAAACAAACAAACAAACAAAAACAGTAAAATATGTTATATTCAAATTCCATTCTTTCCTATTAGCAGCCATTTTTAAGGCCAGATTGAAAATGTTCTAATTTTCTCGTGTTTGTTTAGAACCGCACTTTATCTTAATCACTATAATTTAAGCCCTTATTTTACTTGCTATTGTAACGTCTTTTATTTTTAGCTTTTTAAGTTACAATTTTCATTGCATTTTATTTTATTGTCTTTGCTCATTATACTTTGCACCTTCTTTTAATTAAATCTAAAGCCTTTCTGAGGTGCTAGATCTCAGGGTGTGATTTATCTTGCCACTATTTTAATTTCTTTTATTCCTTATTTTATTTTATTTGCTACTAAGCTCCTGAATTTTAATTTCTAAAAGTTCTCCTTTATCAACTCTCCCCAATGACTGATTATCAGTTTAGGGGTTGGTATTCTTCCGAAGTAAGACTGTGCTCAGTTAAGGCTGCTGCTCAGCCGAGAAAGCGGTAGGTTTTAGTGTGCTGGAAATGACTTGAGTATGATTGCAACTGCATTTCTGACTTCCTCTGCACTTCTTATGTTTTTGTCTTTCGAAAAGCCTTTCTGAGACGCTGGATCTCAGGAATGCTGTAAGCTGTGTTATTATCTAATACTTTTATTTTTCTGTTTGTGTACTTTCAACAGACACTGGGTACAAAAGGTGCCCTACAAATAAACTTGCCCTACCTAGTTTAATTACAGTTTGTGGCCAAATTAAAAATGACAGTACACTACAGTCACAGGGAAGGGTGGTAACGGAATGTGTGTAACGGCGCTATCAGGAAAAAAAGGATATATATTCCATTACAGTTACAGAACAAAGACAGTATTCAGATTACATTCTAATAATAGAGTGATGAGCAGTAGGACTGCATTACAACCACACAATCTACAGAACCTGCTTTAGAGCTGAGATCTGCAGCATTCTCCTGAAGATATCTGAATCAGGCGCTGGACCTGGTTTTCCACCTCACCTGATTTTACAGCAGCAGGATGATCTGGCAGTGAGCTGTTATATACAATTTTGCTGATGTTAAGTTGTCAGATTTTCAAACAGAAGTGAGCTAACATCGCTTAATGATCCCGAAACGCTGCAAAATGTTAATATATGTAAACTAAAATTATATTTAACTCAGCTCCCACTTTTTGTTTGAAATAATGCCTTGAAAAACACACTGATTTCTGTGAAACGCTGAGAGCTGAGGGAGCGTCTACAAATTAAAATATGAAAAAAATGGCATAATACTTCATGGTTAAGATGTTGTTTTTCCAACATTTATTGTGTCCTGATGAAGGCCTGAGCAGGCTGCCACCCGTCAGCACATTTTATATACACTGCCAGGTGCTAATAATGGCTTTTTAGACTTTTTATCTTTCTTTTATATCTTTCTTAAGAGAGCGTGCCCCGGAATTTGTTTGCTCTGGGACCTATTTTGTATATTTACTGTGGATAATTTTTTTGATGAAATTTTGTATATTTGTTGTGATTTATATGGATCTCATTTGTTACTCCCGGCGCAAAATCCTTACTTTGAACTAACGTCGTTTAGACAGCAGACCAAAACAGCAAGGAACCTTGGCTTTTCCGTTTAACGGCCCCTTTAAAGAACAGTAGGAATCAGATTCACTGTCAGAATCACTCTCTCTCAGCGCTCACCAGTCTGGAGAGGGCACTCTGAGATGCCTCGGCCACCGAGGACAGAAGGCCGGCGCTGGACTTGCGGAAGATTCCATCAAGCGCCGTCGTTTTGGTGATCTTGCCAGGTCGGTCGCCGGAGCTGGAGGTCTTGCGTTTGCGTGCCTCGGCGGAGCTGCAAGGCAGCGGGCTGTGAGACGAGACGCCCCCGTGGTCCCCCGTCAGCGCCTGAGGCAGGGACAGCTCCACGCTGGGGTACCTGTCCGAGTCCCGGGGCCCCGGCCCGCCCGTCCGCGGTTTAGCCCGGACGCTCAGGGCCGCCGTGCCGTTGCTGATGTGGGCGGGGCCCGGAGGCGGGTGGTAGCCGTTGCCGTTCTTCCGGTAGGCGGCAGTGTCGGAGATGGGAGGGGGCTTCCGCCGTTTGACCGCCACCCCTTCCCCCGAGGTCCTCGCAGGCTTGGCCGCTTTAGTCTGAGGCAGCTTTGGGCTGGGCTCCGGATCCCGGATGCAGAAGACCCCCGCGCCGTTGTGGGAGAAGGGGGTGGAGTAGGATACCATGGAGACTCCGTCAGGGAGTGCAGGAGCGAGGGTGGAGAGAGAAGGGGAGCTCAGAGGAGACGCCTCAGATGGGCTCGGGGACGAGCTGACCACAGAGTCTGCCACCAGGGGGACTTTTCTACAACACAGAGGATATGACATCATCAGCCTGTGGCAGGAAGCTGCTCTGAATAAAGTGGTTTTTGCACCGAAGCAATTGTGGTCGCATGCAATCAGCCTGTTGTCGTGGCACAGTCATCTTTTTTGAGAGTGTAGAATTACTGGAAAGCTTAGTTTTAGTCAGTAACCTGTGTTTTATAGGAGGATGTTACAGTGAGACACTGAGAGCAGGTCTATCTGCACTCACCTCCACATCTGAGCATTCACGTGCTTCTCCACCATGCAGTGCAGCGCCAGCCTCATCCTGTCCCAGCGCCTGTCGAAGACGTAGTGACCGCGGCCCATCAGCCGGCTGCGGAACGCACAGCACTGACCAGCAGAGGACGGGACCGGACAGGAGACAGACAGGAATTTGGACAATTACTAACTTCATACAATGCAGCCTTGCGTTTCTGCATTAAAATGACTTATACTTAAAGGATAACTCCACCAATTTTTCAAAATGTCTCCTTAATTCAGTGGTTAAGATATAAATAAAGTCATTCAAGAGTGATTTAATGCAAAATAATTCATTTGTGGAGAAATTTACAGACTCTGATGTCTTCACAGTGGCGGAACCCGGCATCGCAATGACTACAACACAAACATCCACAACATCCAAAACCACCAGTGAACCTACACGAGTCTTCTGAGTTTATATGCATGTTGATGATGGAAATACAGAGATCAAGGATTGAGAAGTTAAATAGTAAAAACATAACAAATGCTAAAAAGTAATAATGATCAATAAATAAATAAAAAAATAATTAAAATTACAAAAATATAATAATAAATAAATTAAAATAAGGGTAGATAAAAGATTATTAAGCATTCATGAAATAAATAAAGAAATAAAATATGTAAACCAATTTCTTTGGGGACTATTTTGCCTCACAGCGCCCTGCATGTATCCCTCCACCATGAATGGAGTTTAAGTTCTCTAAACTATCATAAAACAGTGTCTCAGTCATCAGGCAGTGA